GACACCATATTTACCTGGATTCTTTATAAATATAACATATCCTTCCTTAGTTCTTCAGTATGACAACATATCCTACTTAAATCCTTCACTATGCTTGTTTGTAACGCCCGACATTTTGGAACAATATGTAACTACCACCACCACCACTCCATCTCACCTAAAACCTTTTCCTCTATCTCCGTATGCGTATTTCACGCTTTTGGACATGGTAAAGCCATCTGGATTTGTTTCACACTCCTATCCAGAGTTCGCTGCCACCTGCCTAGTTCTTCTGTCACAGGCTAGAGTTGGACGATACATGACATGTTATTCATAAATGCGACAAAACCATTTCCATAGTCAAGAGAAATGTCTGCTAAGAGCACAGTCGATTGTACGATTCCGACTATATCATGACCATGAGCTTATGAATCACTATGAAACAGCGATGCCACCGGGTGTTCGCGAAAGGGTCAGCGTATCCTGCCCCACCGGTGGCACCGGTCACAAACTCATGCAAAGGCAAGTAAACTGTTTACCAGAAAAAAACAACATATGGTAAAAGTCAAAATAGGGAATTGCATCGGAAATAATTTTTGTCACTGATGCTTCCAATTTGGAAATGTCATCCACATGTCTACCATAAAACTTTGAAAGCTTTACTGACGCCTTGAATATTTGTTGTAACCTTCATCAAACAACTTCTGAGCAAGAGACGTGTGACGTTCTTTGAAATCTTGGTAGAAATGCTCGATTGTGTATACACAGTCCATTCAACACATTTCATCTTTTGTATTTTCAAACGTCTGCACAGTTAGATAAACATGTGTCATGAAAAAGATAACTTCCATTGAGCAAATATCCTAAAACGTAACAAACAATTTATTTTTGCGCATTTATTCTTTGTTAACATTGGTTATACGGTGCCACGTGCAGACATCGAATCACTACGGAGAGCTAGCAACACTTTCACTGTGATGCTACAGTTTAAAGATATTATTATTGTCACACACCGAATACTTAGAATAAGCGCGATGTTTACAAACAAGAAAAAAGTTCGGTCACGTGATATGCAAATTATCTTGTGGCATCACTGCGCGGAGGATGTGCACTTTTATTACAGACTCACCGCCAAAAGAAACGCGAAACATAGAAACATATAGAGAAGTATGTACGTTAAGAAGAGATGTTTCCAATGTGTACCACTTAATGACAAAACTAACAATCAGTCGAATGTTACCCAAAGTGTCTTCATTCTTATCGCGATATGCTGCACAACTTCACACGCTAATCCTGCACGAGACAAATGGTGCATCTCGAGTCATGGATCTATGACGTCACATAAGATGCATTGGTATACGTCGGTTCACACAACATACCAGTATGTTCGTTTGTGCATCAAACCAATCCAATATCCCTTGAATATGAATAATTATTCTTCATATGTTAACCAATAAATATGGTATTCGCGTGTCCTTGTAGGTGAGTATTTATTTAGTGATGAAATACTGGATGTATCTGCACAAATAAAATAGATTTTTCGCTCGTGTTATGTAACACCAGAGACCATTTACTCTACTGTCTCTGGTAACACTTTACACTGGAATTACGTCCTTTTTGCTTCTTTGACAACATTTGTATTCAGTAAAAGGTCCCGAAGATCAGTTAGGATCAGTAAAAGATCAGTAAAAGATCCCGAAGATCAGTTAGGAAATACATTATAAATAGAATATTTGACCTTTCTTGTCAATATCATGTTTGTGTCATCTCGGGACCTGAAACCGATCACGCCCTTTTTCAATAAGGAGCTTGAATTGCCGAGATTATAGAGGTTGGACGGAGCGCGGAAAATATCTGTCGCCATGGCGGGGTATATTATATTATATTATATTATATATTTTTACAGCTATGTAGTTGTAGCAGGGTACATTGAAAGTAAAACGTTATTGACCAATAAGATACCTACATTTAATGTGCGACAAAACACACGCTGCATGGTCTGACGGACGTCATGTTCAACACTGACACCATCGAGAGGATGACAAGGTGATAGGAATCCATTATATTGTCGTACACGCGTTAAACCCTAACAATAGAGCTCGTGATAAAGAGCGACAATACAGACGCCAGGCGTGAAGCTAACACTAATTATCATCTCCGCAATTTGCCTTGACAACCGAGTAACACGTGTGCAGTTATGAAACACTGAGTGTCGTCAAACCCAACACCTCCTTAACGATGATCGAACTGATCTCATGAAGTTATTATAGAAGCGCGCCTCTGTGGTCTAGTGGATATAGTGTCTGTCCGGAGAGCGGAGGTCGCAGGTTCGATCCCCAGACCCGTCACACCAAAATGCGTTAAATGATGGTATTTGTTGTCACCCTGCCTGTTGTCGGCATTTAGGGGATGAAACAAGGTCTGGTCTCGTCGGAGTCACAGTACTGTGTCTGAGTGGGGTATCCATGTTAAATTGCGGTATGGGGTTTTCGTTGGCGAACTCTATCAAAATCGGCATTAGTCCAGGCTAGTACAAGCAAACAGACCGACAGACTGACTGCACCACCATGTTTATGTAGTTTAAACCATAAACCATTTAAACCATTAAACATAAACCATTTGCGAAACTTTGTTTCAACATTTCTACATGGAATGACCAATTTTGTCATCAGAGAAGAGAGAAGCGAATGTTACTTCACCACTTGTGTCAACCTTAGTAAACTCAAAAAGGAAACTGCCCCTGGAATATCCGGGTTAGAATTGATTTTCAACAAACCAAAGGTGGGAACGGTCGTATCCCAGTTGCGTAGATCGATGCCCAATCACTGGATTTTCTGGTCCATACATGTTTATTTACAGACCGCCGTCATATAGCTTGAATATTGCTGAGTGCAGCGTTAAACAACAAACAAACAAACAAAAAGAAACCTGACATATTGTTAATCACCATATTGCCCTTAAATCCTGTAATTCAAAGAACATTCAATGAATGAAAAGTTTTTAATTTCTCTTAAATTAAACATTAAATTCAAAATTTCACATGTTTTTATGCCCTACTAAAGATGTACACCAGATCGAACTGAATGACAATTATTGTCAGGTGTCAACCTTCTCTTAATGACGGTGACCACAGGGGGGTGGGATGGTGGCAATGGTTTTCACTGTTTAATTATAAAAACTCAAAGGTGATGGATACACACCTTTTCTGCTCGACATATGGGAGGGGCGGGATACCTCTTGGAGTTAAACTGTGAACGTATGACACACTGGTGTGACATATAGCGTTCTGACGGTTTGATATATAGCATATCACACAACATTCACAGCACAGCTGGGCGGATATCTTGATGTTTACGCGAACAGTCGCAGTTGTCTGTATCGTCGTCTCTGATTGGCGGACAGTCGCGACCGATGACATATTTATGTCACCTTTCGTAAAGGGCGTGTCACTTGTGGCAGCAATACTTGCAGAGTGGACTAGATCTATCATTCCTCGACAGTGGTCTGTTTATAAACATGGAGGTACGTGGAATAACATTTGTTTATTTTTTTATCTTATTCTCTTAAGTACTATTTGACGATATTGTTTCATGTTGTATTGACGAGGGGTATTGTTGAAGGAGATTGCAGATTAGGTGGTTAAGATTAGCTGTGTACTATATGGTACAGTCACTGGGATGTGTGGCAACCGCTGGGTATATGCACAGTCTAAGTGCACATGGACAGTCAAAGGATGCATTGCAGTCACTGGGTGGGTACATGTACAGTTATTTTGTTATTTTGTTATCAAGCGAAGAGTAACTTTAGTGCTAAAAAGAAAATTATTGTTTTTTCGAACCGTTTTCATGTAATGACCCATGAGTTCAGCTGATATGAATTTGGAAAAGCGACTGACTGTTCAGGATTGCCAAAGAGTTTTGGACAGCTCAGAAACGTCTCCAGAAAGAGAAGGGTAAACGCCCGCAAGTGATATCAGCTATTAAGACTTATCAAAAGTCTCTGCTAGTACCGTCTCGATATTCACTCAAATTTTCAACCTCATGAACATAATAGACATTGTGTTTGAGTGAGTGAGTTGGGTTTAACGCCGCTATTAACAGTAATCCAACTATATCGCGGCGTGTCAGCTTAATGTGGGAGGAAAGCCCGAAGTGATGCAAGTCTTAGATGTTTACCACTTCAGCGAAACCCATGAGCACGGCTATGGTGCTGACAAACCTTGAAACATAATCTTGGCGAACTGGGATTCAAACCCATAACCATATGTTTCTGTCGTGCCCAAGGGACGCAAGTCTACACAGCGAAATGCGGCGCCAAAGACGACTTGGCCACCCTTGCCCCCTGTCAAATTACAATAAGGCCTTCTGAAAAAATAAACGACAAAAACCATTTGTACGATTCCGACTATATCAGAAGCATGTGTTTGTGAAACACTTTCAAATAGTGAGGTGTTCGCGAAAAGGTGAGCGTATCCTGCCCCTCCGGTGGTACCTGCAAAGGCAAGTCAATTGTTCGCCTGAAAAAACACAGGTACTCAAGGTACAAGTCCAAATATAGAATTACATCGGACATAATTTTGGTCACTTTGAAAATGTTTTCAACATTGCTTCCATAAAACTTTTTGAAAGCTTTGGTACCTGAACCCTGGTCAAAAGAAATAAATTTCATAGTTTCTGTCACAAATCGATCATGAAAACATTTTGCAAGCTAAACTTGACTTTGCATAGACATTTTGACGTAACCCAATGTGACATGCTTCGTCATTTTGTTTTCATTAAACACAATTGTGAATTCAGGAAATCCAATAAACATCAAATTATAATTTTATCTTCCTACATATTTCAGCTTTAATCTAGCCAAGGTAACATTCCATGTATTTCTCCAGTCCCGACAGTGTCAACGTAGACGTACACGGTGACTGGGGCGGTGGGAATGCCTAGTGGTAACCTCGTTCGCCAGTCACGCCGAAGGCCCGGGTTTGATTCCGAATTAGCAGCAGAGTAAAAATATTTTTAAAAAATGGAGGTAATGTAAATCGGTTTTATTGGAAGGTTATGTTGTATGTCACTGAGAACTTTGCCACACGTCATGAATAGGGAAATGCGTAAGAATATGTGAGAATTTGTGAAAATATATTTATAATGATGTGAAAATGAATGTAAAACAACCATCCAAGACAAGCAGCATAAATCACTTTTTGGGCGTTGGGGAAAAAATTGATGTCTGTTTACATGCTGCTTTTGTGTGGGGTTGCTATCAAAATGAAAAAAAATCACTGACGCCGTTGTTTTTGCTGCAAACAAGAAGTATAGGACGGATTTGAGTCCTTGTGGTAAGAGATTTAGAACACGTTACTGCCACACATTTTGTGCTTATAATCAATTCAAACAAATATATTTGTCCACAGCTTCCTCTAGACTTGAGCGTCAGAAAAAGTTCCGTGGGCGATGATGTCACTTCCGGCGACGACAATGACGTGGTGACCAGCGATTCTCCGCCTCCTTTTAATGACGCCTCTGGCCTGATAGCGGACACCGCCGTCAGTCCTTGTGTCACCCGGCATGAGGGGGAAGTAGGCGTGTCTCTCCTAGATGCCCATATATGGGAGGCATTCAGCCTCAATGGTACAGAAATGATCATCAATAGGAATGGAAGGTACAGATTTCACGTGTGATAATACTGTATATCAATATCAATATTTTATCAATTATATCATATAGTGGGAAGTTTTCTCGGCAGGATAAAAGTGGTATCAAATGGTATACTGCATCCTCACATGTTTTGTCCTGCAATCGACGGAAAGGGGGTCATTTAAACATGTTACCTAAATAGGGGAAGGTCAACATAATGTTGCAGTCCTTAGGACAAACTCTCACACACCCTGTCCCAACCCCGCACCCCACCCCCACCAAACACGCCTACACCCCCACAACACATATCCGTGGGTTGGAATCCCGATTCGTCCTGATAATGGTTCCAGGTTGTCAGCACCATACCCATTCACCAAAACTGTAAAGACCCGCATCACTCGGGCTTCCCTTGATCAAACTGACACGCTTGACATAATGGGAATAATGTTCAAAGCACTATGAAACCAAATTCATTCACTCACCCTTTACATAAGTTCTGTTATTAAGGTATGATCTATGCATATGCCACAAACATAAAATATTAGCATTCATGTGATATGTTTAGACGAATGTTCCCGCACGTGACAGTGTCTACTTCCGGTTTAACCCCATCCGGGCTCTACAACGTCTGGCTTGAAATCCTGCCTGCAGACGGAAGAAGGTTTAAGTACATTCAGGGTGAGTGGCTTCCCGTCAGCCCTGCCGACCCAAGTTCTGGATACCCGCCCTACCTCCATCTGGACTCGCCAAACACAGGAGCGTTCTGGATGCAGAAGAAAATTTCCTTTGCACGCCTCAAACTCACGAACAATCGAGATTCTGCGGAGGGAAACGTGAGTATGGGCTTCATGAGCTGACAATAAAATATACAGATGTACAGGTGTTAAGTCCTGCTTCAATGGCCCAGTTCGAGGATAGCCTCTTTCTGTTTACCTACAATCCTTCCATCCTGGATAACATACACAGCATCCGTGGTCTAGTGGAAAGAGCGTTTTCACCAAAAAGTGACTTGTTCACCGGATACCTTGATAACATTTTTTGTAGGTATATGAATATACATAAATGGTCTGGAAGCAGACACTGATAAGTTATTATAGCATCTCCTAGAACAAATCATGCCTTACTACTCTTCATATACCAGATGCAAAAATATAAGAATTGACTGAGTTAGTGAGGGACAAATTAATGGCTGACCCCTCAGGGCCAAGAAACCAGGAAGTTGGCTATGTATGATATGAGTAACTTAATATGAGTATATTAATATCATTAATAATTAACTACTTGAGTCATATCGAAAATATTTTTGTACATAAACGCAACGGGTTTTGAATGGTTTGATGAAATGGCCTTTGAAATTACCTGTGCAAAGATCGCTAAAACGTATATATACTATATCATCAAATAAGGCTTGTTTTCAATGTTCTTATTGTACACGCATGCGCAGGTTATGCTGCGGTCAATGCACAAATACATGGTCCGGATTCTTATCAGCGAGACGGGGAAGGACGTCAACGCCACAGTGCCTAAGACGTTCACGTTCCCGGAGACAACGTTTATGGCCGTCACGGCATACCAGAACAACCACATCACCAAGCTGAAGATCCACAACAATCCTTTCGCGAAAGCCTTCAGGGACAAGCATATTGGGAGGTATGTCATGTTGTTTTATGTGTTCTTCTATTTACTCACGGCCTTTTGATAATGGAAGACAATCATGGACACATGCCCCTGGCGTTACAGACTCTGACCACAAGCGTTTATTTTCATGGTTCTTGTGCGTGAAGAAATATCAGTATCTTTATTTAGTCATGTTTAACGTTTTACCACCAGAATAAGACACGTCCGAATCCTATGACAGTGGAAGGGGGGTCAGTGGGGTAGCCTAGTGGTTAAAGCGTTCGCTCGTCACGCCGAAGACCCGGTTTCGATTTCCCACATGGGCACAATGTGTGAAGCCTGTTTTTGGTGTCCCACGGCTTCATAATATTGGCATATTGCTAAAAGCGGTGTAAATCCATACTCACTCACCCTCTCACTTTGATCGTGGGTTCGATTCCCGGATTCACTCTAATTATTATATCTGATTGTCAGCACAATTCCCGTGGGTTTCACAAAATTGGTAAACGTCGACCTGGTCTCTATGGACCGAGTTCACTTTGTTAAGGCCCACAGTTGAAAGTTAGTCCAGTTGTGCAGGCCTCGTACTTGGCACTGATGTTGATATTCTTTATTTTCTTCAGAAACTACCAGAAACGATCTAGGAGCGCTGCGTGGTCTCTTCCTGACGGTAGGTGCAAAACCCCAATCTGTTGATAAACATGTGCAACGTTTTACGGGTGTCAATGAGTATTTGAAACCCGAGCATTTGTTTTTACATTTCAAACGTCTGATTTAGCTTTCGACGGAGGTTCCAAATTTGTATTAAACTGCTGGGCAAAAGAAAGTATACATCCATATTCTGGAGATTATGGAAAAATATGATTCAGGGATTGTGAGACAGACTAATCATAATAATGTTCTATCTCTGATTGAAGCAAGTCTAGATCTACAATCCCACTGGGATCAGTCTAGCTATGGACCCTGACGCAAGGTCTCATCTTTATTGTGTGTATATATCTCCAGGGTACCAGGACACGTCCCAGCGGAACAGGAAGCGCAAACGTGATTCAAAGGAGGATGCGGCTGCTCTCATTAAGGACCACACAGGTCTAACAGGCGGGTTCAACAGTGTGGGCCAAGCAATGTCAGGGACGAATCCGCTGGTGATGGATCGAGTAACTCCCTATGGGTGTGATATGTTCCGTGAGTAGCCCTGTTTCCTGTTCGGAACATACACTGAATGTAACCCCTTTCGGTATGAAACGTTGGTTCCAATCCCGTGGTGTTAAGAAAATATATGTTATTGGTCTCTAGCAATCTTTGCTATAATTGTCGCACGACGGGAGTTATTGGTTTGGTGGTCAGCATGGTGATTTGGTTGATTACGTGTCATCGCACTCCGATAACTAGGGACATGCCAGAGAAAATGCCTGGGACAGAGGGACTTTCTGTAGAGCATCCCAGAGACATGGGGACTTTATGTAGAGCAGACCAGAGACAGGGTGATTTTCTGTAGAGCATGCCAGAGACAGGGGGACTTTCTGTAGAGCATACCAGAGACAGAGGGACTTTCTGTAGAACATGCCAGAGACAGAGGGACTTTCTGTAGAGCATGCCAGAGACAGAGGGACTTTCTGTAGAGCATGCCAGAGACAGAGGGACTTTCTGTAGAACATGCCAGAGACAGAGGGACTTTCTGCAGAACATGCCAGAGACAGAGGGACTTTCTGTAGAGCATGCCAGAGACAGGGGGACTTTCTGTAGAACATGCCAGAGACAGGGGAACTTTCTGTAGAACATGCCAGAGACAGGGGGACTTTCTATAGAACATCACTGGGTCGGAGGTGCTTTTATAAAGAATATACCTGGCACAAACGGATATTCTAGAAAACATCCTATCTGAGAGGTTATGATGGAGGTCCCGTTACAACAATAAGCTGACGTCAGAAGAGGTTTATTAGTTAGACTAAAAACAAATATTGGTCGATGTTTGCCTCAATTAATATTGGTTTAATGACCCCTATTAATGATAGTCGTATCATTGGATTAATTGATTCAGGATGTTGCCCTGAGGGGGGGTGCTGAGTATCGGAGTAAATCGAATAAGTAAACAATATTTATTCGGGAAATATAGTCGATGGTTAATATATACGACAGGTGGGCGCCAATGTTATATCTTCAGGTCTTTTGTTTTTTCAGCGTCTGCACGGGGAACTGGTTTCATGTGTAATGTCGTCCAGAATGCCGGGTTATCTCCCCTGTATCGACCCTTTCACCACCAAACCACTCCGGCGGTCGGCGGACTCTGTCCCCTGCCCCCCTTCATGTACCCCGCCCGTTACTTCCTCAGCCCAGAGGTATCTCTCACGCATCCCCACCCAAGCAACTACCCACTACCCATCCCCGCCAACTCGAGTCACGCGCCATGCTACAGCCTCCCAAACTATCATGGGGACTTGTCCTAGGATGGAGGATGGAGGATTACGTCACAGGCGGCACGTAGGAGGAATGAACATCTCTGGGAAGAAGATGTGTTGAGCGATTTTTCTTGGTGTGGCGTCAAGCGGAATTGCGTGGAGCGGCGTGGGGTGTGTTTTGAAGACATTGTCTGATTCATCAGTTGGGGAAAAACCGTGACAGATTCTAACGGAAGACGACGACACAAACAACTAAACAGTCACCTCGTCCATACGATGGGCGTGAGAAACAAGCGTGTCTAACTATTATAGGCAGTGTTTGTGACAGATCCCTACTATTAACGTTATCAGGCGGAGGTGAGAAGAGAGACGCGATGGCAGCATTGTGAGCGCCACGATGTAAACTACTGTCTTAGTGCTAACAAAATCGTCGTTATATGTTTCGTGTTAAAATATTTTACTATTGTATAATTGTGTGTTCCATAACAAATAAACACTATGATAAACGTTTCAACTTATTGTTTGTAGTAGGGATAATCAGTTTTGAATAAAACTTGTCGAGAAGTAAATAGATGGATTGTCACGCCGAGGACCATGGTTCGGTTGCACAAAGAGATTTTAGCACTAAAGTGATCGTAAATTCCATGCTTTAACATCGACGTACTGCAGTAGTGCTAAGGCTGTTTTGTACAACGGCACCCACGGCCACGATTCACTAAGCGGAATTGGCAGTACGGCTGTCGTTATCTATTTGAGAGTATGGACGAAGCGCAATAATCGTTTTGTGAAACCGGGCCCTGGGTGATTCGGATACCTCCCTCATGAGTGAGCGAGCTGATTTTGAACGCATTCAGGATATTATACGTTTTCAGTGTCTGCTCAGTTATTGCACGGCATGTTTGCTAAACGTGAGAGGAACACCCGAGGTTATGTAAATATTTACAGCGGGTACGGGGCACACAAATCAATTATAACAAACAGCAGATATGGGATCCAAATAGTGAGAGAGTAACGTTTTACGCCGCTTTTGGCAACATTCCAGCAATATCACGACGGGGGACGCTGGAAATGGCCTTCACACATTGCACCCATGTGGGGAATCGATCCCGGGCCTTCGGAGTGACAAGGTACCGCCTTAACCAATAGGCTATACCAACGCCCCCAAAACGACTAAGGGGCGCAACTCTGCGCGGTGAATTGCCGACTGGGACACCCGAGTCCACTTTTCCCACAGAAGCTGCATTCGGCACCACTCGCCCCTTTCCGTTACCTGTAGGAAGACTCGTCCCCCTATCGATGAATATGTCATGTGCGAAAATACGACAAACCAATCTGAATACTCGCATGACTTCAAGTACTTCGGTCAAAGTATCCCTCAGGAATATTTTTTTACTTTATATATGTCTTGCATCTAAAAATATACCCAAGACACAGTTAAATGTGTTCTATCATTCTGTATAATACCGTAAGTCCCGATGTGTTTTTAATAGCATCTGGAATATTATGTGACATGGGGGGAAATACACGTGATATATTACGCAACGAGTTGACAAATCTTTTAGATAGGCGTGTTTGCGCTTTGACGGAACCCAGTCGGCAAAATGGCGACGAGAGGCATTCGTCACCACGCGCATGTGTCCGTAACCAACAACAAGGCTCTTCTCCCTCCATTCGTGACCAACTCGTGTTATTCCGGGACAAGCCGAATAGCGACTCGTGCCCCTCTCATGGCCATTTTTGCGACCGGGTTCTGTCTTAGCGCAAACGGGCATACGTAAAACAATTGTCAACTCGTTGGGTAATGGTTCAGATATATTTCATCATATATTATATATATTTCAGATGCAATTTAAAGCACATCGGGATATGCGAAATTATACAATGTGATTGAACACATTTAATTGTGTCTTGGGTATATTTTAGATGCAAGACATATGTAAAAACAAAACATATTTCTGAGGGATTCTTTGACTAAGAACTTAAAATAATACACGCATTCTGATTGCTTTGTCTTATTTTCGCACATAAAATTCATCGATAGGGGGACAAGTCATCTTGCAGGTTACGGAAAGGAGTTAGTGGTGCGGAATGTTCTCCCGCCGAAACGGCACAAGATCATCAGAAGGCGCGTCAGGACATATGTACTTCGATCAATAAAACCCAGCTTTTGATTACAAAATGTGGGAAAATGTAGATTGTCGGCTCCACAATGCAATGTATATGGAAAACAAAATTGTGTTATATCAATTGTTGTTGTAACTTGCAGGGCCATGTCAGTGTGTTGGTGTGTGTGTGTGTGTGTGTGTGTGTGTGTGTGTGTGTGTGTGTGTGTGTGTGTGTGTTGCGGACATTTTAGTCTACATGTATTGGCTATTTATGTTATATCTAGGGCATAGTTTGTTCTCCTCTACATGTTTTACAGACAGATGTATTCGGTAATGTGGGCCATATGGCCTATATTACAATGTCAGTACAATATAAATTTAGTCACGTTTTTCTAGATTTAAATATCTTATACAGGTATACAAAAGTCAGTTTTATTACATTGACATTTTTGCAGTTAAGAATATTTGGAAATGACAAGGAAACCGTCATACATATCTTGTAGTTGAGTAATATAATGTTTCCGTAGAGTCTGGTAATAATCACAAGTGAAAAAGACATGATCTTCATTTTCAATACAACCCTTGTTACAATATCTACATACACTATTTTCATTATCTGAGGGGTTTTTACGTAGAAAATGAACATTAAATTATGTAAGCTAATCCTAAATTTACAAAAGGTTCTTCTGAGAGATTTATCCTGCAAAGAATCAATATATTTTTCTACATTCAGCAAAGATTTAACATTTGAATAATGAGATTAATATTTGGAAGCAGACAATTTTGCAAACCAATTTTGAGAGGCAACATCTTTTAGTCTTTCCTGAAATTGATACAAAAAAAATATTTACATCACCAACATTTTGGTAGTCCCAGACATATAAAAAAACCCATTAACATATAAACAATTTTTAAGATCTGTCACCCAACTATGCTTACCTTTCTCATCTAGTTTTTTAAGGAAGTAATAACATTGTACAGGATATCTATTTGATCCCATGTGCAATAGTTTTAGCCAATATTTTATAGCTCTGATCTGACTCTGGACAAACATATAGGGGCGGCCAGTTTCCCCTAAGATAGCTGTGTTTGAGGCATATTTACCTACACCAAGAAAATATTTAAAATATGAAGTTTGAACTTTCTCTATACATGCAAAATACCTTAGCCCCAAAATTTCTGCACCATATAAAAGTATAGGACTTATTTTACAATCAAATATTTTACAAGCTGTGGAGAATGATAAGAATGATTTTTTTTTGGAATAGTTTATAAACAGGGATGCATGCCTTAACAGCCTGAGCTGCCAGGTTCTCACATGATTTCGTCCAAATCAGTCTAGAAGAAAATATTACCCCCAGATATTTATAATATGAAACTGTTTTTAATAAACGGCCGTTATAGTACCATTTTTCAAAGCAATTTGAAATACCCCCATTTCTAAAAAATACAATTTCTAATTTTTTAAAGTTTATCTGGAAACCCCACTTACACAAACTTTCTAAAATATCTAATTGCCTCTGAAGACTTACAACATTATAAGCAAAGAGTACAACATCATCCGCAAAAAGCAACAGCATCAAATACTCAATATCTTGAGAAATAAATATACCATTTTGACAATTTTTTTACATTTCAGTGACAAAATCATTTATAAACAAAATAAATAATATCGGGCTCAACATACAGCCCTGTCTAACACCCACCGTTGTTGCGAACAAATCTGTTTATCCAGAATCTACTTTAACACATGCTTTCACAGAACTAAACTAGTTTTAAGAATAACATACATTTTACCATGACAGTCTTTCTGGAGTAGGGCATATAGTAGTTTTTTTCTGTCGACATAGTCAAAGGCCTTTTTAAAGGATATTCCTCTATAATTTGATGTGTCCTTCGTATTTCCAGATTTATATAACGGGATAATCATGCCTATATTCCAATTATCAGGAAATATTCCTGTATCAAATATCTTATTGAATAAAATGTTCAAGTACGGTGTAAAATATGGCTGTGACAGTTTATAGAAGGAGTTAGGAATACCATCTTCGTCTGGACTTTTGCCTTGTTTTAAGCCTGAGATAGCATCAGTGATCTGTTTCTGTGATAACACTTGACAGCAACTGGTCAGTAAATGGGAAGTGTTCGCAGTTTTCAAAAGTGTGATTTTCAATGAAGTCTGTAACTATAGTCCCAAATTCACATGTTACACTTAATTCCGGATTTAATAAGTTTTTGAAATAAGACAACCATTTGTCTGGAGAAATGTTTGAGTTTGAAGAATGTTTGCCGAGAGCATGTTTCAATGCTGTCCAAAATGTTTTACAGTCTTCACCTACAGCGGCCTCAGAAATATCAGAAGCTATTTTCTTCTCATGAGCGATTTTCTTCTCTTTACAACATTTCTTGAACTTGTCCTTTGCTTCAATATATTCCAGTCTATTTTCACTGCAGGAAAACTTTCTAAACTTTGTTATTTTCCGGCTTTTCTGTACCTTAAGATCTTCACACTGTGTGTCAAACTATGGAGGTTGCTCTCGAGGTCAAGATTTACTTGTTGATATCTTTCCCATTTCTGATGCACAAAACAGGGCGATGTCCTTTAACTTTAACAGGTAGATTAATATCGGTTTCCAAAGCAGTTGTAAAGTCATCCACAATTTTGTTGAAGCTATCTTGAGCCGTCAGTTGTTCAAGTCGTTCCTTGTTCTCACGTAATTGTCTGATTCGAGGGACAGGTTGAAATATTATTTCTTCAGTTATGAATGTAGTGGTGTCACAAAATAACTTTTCGAAGGAACATAGTACTGGCAGATGATCAGGACATGTAATAGTATCGACCGAAAGGTCTGCAATACAATGGAAAATGTTACTAGAAACAATAAAAAAAATCGATTACGTAGGTAAATTATTTGGATTGTCTCCCTTCATTCTTCCATTTACGATATGAATTTCCATATGTTTACAAACATCTAAAAGTTGTCTTCCATATCTGTTTGTTTCTGGGTCACAATTCACTCTCGGGAGATCAAATGGGTCCTCACTGTAGTCATAGACTGGTAGATATTGACTGTTGTCGTCCATAATGAAATCTGGTAGGTCACTAGTTCTGGAGTTAAAATCCTCACACAGAATAAATTATACATTTTCTCCAAAATCAAATATTATTTGCAGTAAGTTATTTTCTAACATTTCAATACCCGTCTCTTTAGAACTGTTATATTTAGGCGAACATTCTGGGTGTATGTAAAGGAACCCAACAATTAACTTCTGTTCTTTGTGATTTGGGGCGGTCGGGTAGCCTAGTGGTTAAAGCGTTCGCTCTTCACGCCGAAGACCCGGGTTCGATTCCCGACATGGGTACA